AGTTAAACCACACACTAAAAGTCTATCTGCCGGAGTGTAATTTGGTATTTTTTACATGTAAAATTGCCAGTTTGCAATATTTCTTCAAAAACCCTTGTTTGTTTTCCAATGGCTATCTTTTGTCTAAAACTGGTGTTAGATTCATCCATGTTATTTGAAGCAAGTTTTAAATGTTTTGACAAATAATCTACAACAGAGTATGTAAGCAAGCTGTAATGCGTATAGTTTCTTCATTTTTTTAGTTATTGGCATTTTAAATGGTATAATATAAAGGTTATTTTTGCCATTGTTCAATTCTGGAATTACACAAAATTATAACGGGTATCGTGCAACGCACGATCCACACTAGTAATATAGATATAAATAAGTTGTAGAAAAGTTAGTAGTATTATAGTCCCACGAAATATGTAGATTAAAAGCGCTTTGAAAAGTTATAAACATTAGCCGAATACCATTATTTTTAACTATTAAATTTTCGATATAAAAAAAAAAAAAAAAAAGGAAGGAATGGTAAATTATGAATCAAAATCAAGAAATTTCTATAAAAATGATTAGAGGTTTATATACTTTCAAGAACTAAAATAAAATTAAACAAATGGACAATAAATGGATTAGGCAAGTAGTGATTAGTAATTACACAAAGGCTAAACGTCCCTACCTATGGAGGGTATTTTGGGTACCGTCCCTACCTTTCATTTCTTGGCATTGGCTATCCTTACCTTTCACTTTTCATGTGCTGGACGTCCTTTTCACTGTTTTTTTGACAATTTTACCCTCAATTCAATCGAAACAAAAAGAAAAAAACAATTGAACAAATTGTAATTATTGGCTCAAACTTTTTAAAAAGTGCAAATAACCCATCAAACTTCATATTCTTCCCAAAACTCGCTCCCACCCTATCGCTGTCTGCCGGCCATTTTTAGGCCACCGTGGCCACCGAATTTTTGCACCAACACCACCTCATCAACCCCTAACATTCCTACATAAATTTCAGACCCAAAAAACAACAAAATCAAACAAAAATTCGACCAAAAAAACAGCCTTCGAGTGTTGGACCTCCCTCAAACTCCTTTTTCCTCCCCCGAAGCCAGCCCCCCCATTTATGGAACCTGGGCCTGTGACTGTTATAAACCTCTTTGATTCAATGTGGTTCTACTCCCAAATCCTCAAGAAACAATCAAATTCCTCAAGTTCACCAAACCCTGATCGGCATAATCAAGAAAATTCAAGAAAACCCAAGATTTCAAGCCAATTAACAATCCATACTAGATCCAAAAGTGACCGGCCACGAACATGTCTACGCCGCCGTCGAGAAGCCGCTGATCTGGGCACAAACTACCGCCGTGTTCGAGATTCTACACGACCTCCCCCATTTCTCCCAAAATCTCGATTCATCACCATCCCATAACCAGATCTCAATGAGTCAAGTTTCACAAATTACATTATCCCCCTTTCAACACACATACACACTCACAAACGCTATAGAAATATATAGAAAGAGGGGGAGTAAGGATACATATGAATAGAAGGGAGAAGCGCTCGAAATTCTTGTTGACCGGGTTTATATTGTTCATTCTTCTTTAACCCATATGTACTATCATTATAAAATCAGCAGAATCAATTTTATATTTCCTGCTTATAATCAGTTGCCCCCTACGTTTGGCATTGTAAATGGAATCCAGAGAGAGAGAGAGAGAGAGAGAGAGAGAGAGAGATTATTGAATCTAGTAATGGTAAAATGGGTCAAAGTTAATGGGTTGATTTTCATGAAGAAGCAAATGAGATGATTTTGATGAAGTAATCGGAACCATTGTTGGAGATGCCTTTGGCGGTGGCCGACGGGTTGGCAATGGCGGTGATTGTGACCGCTTTATTGTGGGTTTGAATTTAGAGGTGGGGTGGAATCCAAAACAAGTTCTGCCTTTTACGTCTTGGATTTTTAAATCGACCGTGCTAGACGTACAGAAGCCATTTTCCAGAAATGCACCAGATGAGCTGGCAACCACTTTAAAAAAAAAAAGACAAATGAAACCCACCAAGTCCAAAACACTTTCCTTCACTTTCCCTCCACGCCTAGCAGAACCGGCCGCGATGTCCCATAAACTCCCCACAGATCGGAGACCCGAAATCTTTATCGACATCGCCGGCGCTTTCGTCAACGTCGCTGGCTGCCGTGAATCCATCAAACGAGCTGCTGATTTACCATTGTCATATTAAGAAATCAATTAAATCTTGCCGCTATGAACCTGCTGATTTTGCCGCAATGAACCCAAACACCTCCCCGGAAAACCACACCCAACTGCTGATTTTGATTCTTTCAACTTCATTCATTGTTGGCTTTGTCTCTGTTTTTGTTGCTAGCCGCAGCTGTTGAATATTTGTTTCCATGTAATAAGTTAATATTTTAGTTAATGTTTCAAACAAGTAATATTGCAGCCAAACACCCAAAGAAATGAGTTCTCTAATATCTGCAACTGATAGCCTCTTCAACAAAAAATATAGTCTGAAAGTGTAATTAACAAAATGAAAGAAAAATCACAACTGATTCTAATTTCTCCAGAACGCAGAAGGTGCAGTGGAAAAACCACAAATGGCGTTAGAATGAAACCTGCCAGTTCTAATCAATAAAAGCTCACCAAACTTACTACCAGAAATAAAAGAAACACCAAACTTACCAAGTGTCTGTTACTACCAAACTTACTACCAAAAAATTACAACCATAAAACCAGAAAATTACAACCATAGAACAAAGGTGTTGGATTGCATGAGGAACCAATCATATGGCTGAAAACCAGAAAATTACAACCATAAAACCAGTGACTTTACATCAAGAAGCTCATCAGAAAATTGTTTCAGACCGGTCAGTCTAAAGTTTCCCCGAGGATTGCATGAGGAACCAATCCTACTGGACTCAACCATGGCTGGATGGCAACCATGACTTTGCTTTTCAGGAGTTGTTGAAGACTGGTTATCGCCGTCACCGCATTTGGGCATAATGTTCGGCGGGAGGAAATGTTGTGTTCACTGCCAAATCTCGTCAAATGTTCGGCACGAGGATTTGATCCGTCGGTCGGACCCGTTGATTTGCAATGCCCAAACTTCCAGCTCCGTGTAGAGACGAATGGTAGGGACGATGTTGTTCGAAATGGAAGTGGAAAAATGAAGGTGCATTTTGGCGGGCGAAAATGGTAGTGGCGGGACTCTTTCCCTTTTCGGAAATAGTAGTGAGCAAAGGGACTCTGTCCCTTTTTCATTAGGTCAATTTCCCACTCATTTTTTCAATTTATTTGCAAATGAAAACAAAGTGCCACGTCATTATTTTTTTGAATTTCTGGCGTTTCTGGTGTACAGTAATCTGTACATAAGGCATTTCTCTTTTTAAATTTATTTTGAAGTAACTGATTTGCATATTTTTAAAAGTTTGGACCCATAATTACAATTTATTCTTTAGTTTTGTTTTCTTTTATTTTAATAGAAGAATAAAATGGTCAAAAATAGATGAAAATGACGTTGAGCGCTACAAAAGTGACAGTTAGGGACGTTTTGTGCCAAGAAATGAAAGGTATGGACGGTATCCAAAATAACCTCCAAAGGTTGAGACGTTTCGCGCTAATTAGCCTTACACAAATAACATAATTTTGGACTATGAAAATCTTAAAGTCCTTCCCGCCAATTCATCGCACACGGCTAAGTGCGGACCTATTTTATTAGTCCAAAAACAAAAGAAAATGGAAGCGGTTATGTCTGAGTAAGCGAGTTGACTCATAATTCCTTTAAACTCGTTGCAGATGATATTTTCACTTCAACTGCCTTTCATTTTCATAATTCAATTTTTTCCCTTTTTATCTTCTACTTAAAATTCCAATTCATTTATTTATTTATTCTCATTTTAATTGATAAGAAATTTAGCGCCTGTTTAGTTTCGATCAAAATCATATTTTTAATAAATTTTGATAAAAATTAACGGAATGTGTAATTGAAAAGTTATACGTTCCACAAAATGCATAGTTAAAATTAATTGTTGACTTTAACTCAACTTTTTAGTTGAACCAAATAGTGGTTTAACATTTTAGCTAATTTCAAAACCTTATTTTTATTTTTATTTTTTTTA